CGTCACTATCGCGTTATGCGCCCTAGATGATAATGAAGAGGTGCGACTTATTCGCGTGACTGAAACGACTGTCCTATGACGAGCGCTATTTGCTGACGTCATCCTACGGACTTATATTCTACAGTAGGATTCGACACTAACTACACTTCATCGACTTACAGAAATGCTAAGTACTAATTATATCACAACAGTGTGTACCACCGTTAGTGTAACACCATTAAGGTTTCGTGTGTGTTGCACGTTAGTGTTGGCTTTCTCACAGCTCTAGGCGGAGTGCTTTATAGCGCGGAACATTTTAGCGAACCATCGAGTGGTGGAACCAGCTGGTCGAGTGTTGCACAGAATTTGTGTTGTGAGTGCAGCAATTCCGATGACTGCTCTTCGCTATCCCATCCCGAGATGATGTTCATGTGCTTGTCCTGCCGGATCTCGAGCTACGATAACCGTGCGACCGCCTGACGACTTAGCCGTGCATTGAAATCGCTCGTGTTGAGACCGTTCGCTTTCTCCATGTCGGTTTCAGCCGCAGCAGCGAATCTGATGACACTAACGCATCAGCTCGGGGAGCGGTCATTTCCGACATGCAGTGAATCTGGAAAATGGATGGTACGGCCCTGCGCATTCTCCAGCAGCAGCGGCGATTGCGGGACGGAGATTGGCCAATGGGGGAGGGGCAAGAGGCGGAAGCAACGGTGCGCTGCTAGCGGAGGGGGAAGCTCAGGGGGCGGAGGGGGAGGAGGCGACGGCATTGATAAAGTCCGCCTTCTGATTGGTGGGTTGCTTCCGACTTGTCAACCTTGTAAAAACCGTCAGACATCGGAGATTGACTAATGTTTCCATTCGTGGCTGCAGGTATGGCGACAAGGGATGACAAGAAGAGAGGGTTTGGCCCACCGCCTCCTAAAGACAAGGCTGCTGGCTCAGGCCTTGTCAATCTCACAGGTCACTGATATTGTCATTATTACAGGTTAAAGGGTCAATCTCAGAGGTATCTGATCGAGTTCTATTTCAGACTTACTGAACAGATACTAGGGGCTACATGCCCGGCCTCAATTTTGATCTCCGCTTCTCCAGTCACTCTGCAACTTCCCATGTCTTCTTCACTTCAACCTTTCCCAGTTTTCCCCATGCAAATCACCAGGCCGAGAGGACCTGATGGCTGGACGCCGGGAGTTTGACCTCCCTTTTTCCTCCTCCACGCCTCCCGAAGCCCTGCTGGCTCAGGCTCGGGCCCGAACCAAGGCCCGCACAACTGCTCAGTCTCGGGCTCGGCAAGCTGAAGGGTCGGGAGATGGGGAGAAACTTAGCGATGGGGAGGGGAACAGGCAAGCTGGCAATGAAGTGAGGGAGGTGGATTTGGAAGGGAGTGGCAGCAGCAGCGACACAGTGTCTGCCAGTTCTGGGATCAATGGAAGTGCATTTGAGCATTCTTCACCTACCTCTACTGGTCTTCCATTGGATCTCACGCCAGCTGAAGCAGTGATTTCGGCTGGCATGCTCGCTCTGACGGTGCTGGCTGTGGGGAAAGGCTCAAGAGGCTTCATGTCTGATGATGTCATTTGGCTCTTACAGGTGACATGATTCCTTCTTACTTTGAGCATTATCAGATCATCTACTCCCTTGCAACTTTCAAGCCAGTTTCACCAACTCTTGCCTCCCGCCAGTCTCTTGGTTTCCTGAAGTTTTTTTCAGCCACTCTGCACATTCCATCTGCCCCAGGTTTGGATGGGTATCGCTTGGACTACTCACTGCTCTCTTGGTGCATTCGCTGCATTCATATGCCAACAACCAGGTCTGAGTACAACGTTTATTGCCCATTTGTCGTGTCTTCATAAGCCCTTTAAATCTGAAAATGCATGGTGTCCTTTGTTACAGGCAACCAGCTCCCTGCATCATCTTCCAGCAAGTGGTTTGTCAAGATCTCACTTGCTGGTTTCCTAGCGTTTTCTGATTTCTGGAGAATATGGAGACAACATTAATCTCAGAGTAACGAATTTTAGTAGAATGAGGGGTGGTTGTCAAATTATATACCGTAATCCCCCGTATATAAGACCCGCCGAAATAGTCAGCCCATGGGTGGCATATGCGGGGGATAGCTTATGATATGGCGCATTTTTTAGAGTACCCGCTTTTCTGGGTATGAATTTTACATAACACCCTGCTCGTTTTTCTTGCCTTTAAACAGTATTTGGTCCTTCATTACCAAGGTTCGCTCAGCTGCAAAAAAACGAGCAGGATGAAAATCGCGTCAGGTGCCATTCGCAGCGCTAAGACGGGCAGAAGTGTTAAAATTATATAAGTTATAATTTAATATAGGCTTGGTAGGTTGTTACTGAACCTTTCTGTAGGGGGTACAAACCCCTCCTTGTACTCCCCTCTCTTCCTAATCCAACTCCCTTTCTTCTCGACATTCTCTCTCTTCCTAGATCCGTTTTTCCTCACGCTACTCCATGGCGGCCTTCTTCCTAGTATCCTAGCCAACCTAGCCTCCTAAGTTTAAGAACCTTGAGTCCTAAGTTTCTAAGATGGTATCAGAGCAGGAGATCCTCCCTGCTGGATCGCCTCCTCACGCTTCCGCAATTTACTCCTCACTCTCATTAGCTCGAGCGGCCATGGCGGCCGCGTTTTGCTGCAGTGGCGACGTCGCGCTGCCACTGGCCGCGTCGTGCCGCGACCGGCTCGACGCGCTGCCGTGGCGTCGGGCCGTCGTTCTGCAGTCGCAGCGCCGACGTCCCGCTGCGGCATCGACGCTGCCTCTGCCGTCGCGACGTCGACGTCCTGCTGCAGCGTCGACGGCGCCGTCGGGCCGCAGCCGGTTGCGTCGACGCTTTGCCGTGGCAGCGTCACCTTGCTGCCGTTGCAGCGTCGGCGTGCCGCCACAGCGTCGACGCCGCGCCCTGGCGGCGTCGTCATGCTGCCGCGGCAGCGTGGATGGGCGGCAGCGGGCAGCACGCCGTCGTAACCGCCACCTGCCCGCCCTCCTGCCAGTAAGCGCCGCGCCACTTATGGCGCGTCGCTGAAGACTCGCCTCGCCCCGCCCCCTCCCCTCCCCCCCCCCACCTGCACCTGCTTCCCCTGCATCCCCCCCTTTCTTGCTGCAGCCGATGACTGCCATGTGAGGGACCTCTCCACCGCCGAGGAGACAGGACATGCCGCCGAGAGGGCGGGGGCCGCCGCACCAGCCTCTGTCGTTCGAGCCGCCGGCGCCGCCGCTGTTGCCGCAGGCCTGGAGCCGCCGCACACCGCCGCCGCCGCCGCCGTCGTCACTGTCGCTGCTGCCGCCATTGCCGTCTCAAGGGGCCGTGAGACCTACCCTCTTCCGGAGTCGTTGCGGCTCCTGCTGGGAATGGGGGTGCTGGGCTAGGGGGTGTGGGTGTGGGTGTGGGTGTGGGGGTGTGCGTGGGCTTGACACTACCAAGCCTAGGGGGTGTGTTAAATTTATATAAGTTATAATTTAATATAGGCTTGGTAGGTTGTTACTGAACCTTTCTGTAGGGGGTACAAACCCCTCCTTGTACTCCCCTCTCTTCCTAATCCAACTCCCTTTCTTCTCGACATTCTCTCTCTTCCTAGATCCGTTTTTCCTCACGCTACTCCATGGCGGCCTTCTTCCTAGTATCCTAGCCAACCTAGCCTCCTAAGTTTAAGAACCTTGAGTCCTAAGTTTCTAAGAAGAAGAATCAATACAAGTGGCAAAACGAAATCGAAAGACACAAGTGTGGAGAGGATCTCGACCGTCCATCTTATTGTTGAACCACCTCGATCGCGTCAGCAATGGTCGTGACTCTATTCACAGCACTCATACGAGATTGGTCAATGACACCTGGCACTGCTGCTGCATCAATCTCTCGCGTTTTCAGAGGCACCAAACTGACCCAGTCAAAGTGTGCAAATCTCTGTAGCAGATTCCTCGTTAGCAGATGCTCGATGAAGTTCTGGCCTCAGAGTGCCTGTTACAACTCAAATTCATTTTGCATTTTACATAAGACATGGGCGTTTTATTTTTCCAGCCTACTGTTAACACCCATACGTTTTTTTGATGAAATTTTGACAATACCCTAGGGTGTTATATACGGGGGAATACAGTATTATATATTTACTTGTTTAGGCTTGGTAGATGTGCTACATTACTGGATCCTACTTTAGAGGGGACAACCCCCCCTTCTTGTATCTCTTCCTCTTCGTAGTCCACCCTCTTTTCTCTCATAACTTCTCCCTAGCTGAAACCTCTCGCCCACTCATGGCTACCTATTGCCCTATCTTCTTTCAACGAGGTAACATAGCAGGACGTTCCTGCTGCGCCTTATCATGACGCTTCCGCAGCGTACTCTCCCCCCTCCCGTCACTTTCGCGCCGCCGTGGCGGCCATGTCGTGTTGCCATAGCGGCCTTGTCGTGCTGCCGTGGCAGCCGCGACGCGCTGCCGCGGCGTCGACACCATGCCGTGGCGGCGTTTCCCCTCCACAATGAGTGGCGTTCCCAATTTGAATCATGTTGATTGATGAAGTATTCGCGACGCTATGGCTTTCGACGCACTAGGGGGTAAGCTGTAGGAGGAGAACTTAACTCAATCTCAAGAGTTCAATCAAAGTTCAAGAATCTCACAAGGAATTAGAGGAGCAAGAGAAAGGTTGGGATAGAAGAGAGGGATGAGAGGGAAGGTCCCAAGAGAGTCCCCAACCAAGGAAACCCCATAAGCACAAAGATTCCCTCCCTATAGGAACCTCAACTTTGACCTTTGTCCCTTCCCAACCAATCCATCCAAGTTGGCCACCCTTGCCAACCTAGCTTGGTTGTTCCCAACCTATTTGCAGCTGTTACAGTAGAGTGACAAGTTTACCCAACCCCAAAGGTCCCAACTCCATATAAAGTCACCCCACAACTTCACTTTGTAACCGCCGCAATTGTAACGCAAGCTCATGAACTTTGAATCTTCATAGCTTTCGCGTTCTTGCTCCGATTGAAGGGATTCTCGTTGCGTCGGAAAGATCTTCTCAAGATCTATCATCACAAAAAACCTGCTCAAACAAAATAACACAAAACACATTCCCAAACTCCAGAACACACCACACACAAATTCTTTCACACAGAGTCAAACCATACATACGAATTGAAACAAGAGATGGGAGGCAGACAGAATGTGATAGCATATGATGACATCACACAACAATCTCCCCCTCTGGCTGCCAACCATCATCCACCATACCAACATCTCAAGCATGCATACTCAATGCACACTCATCCCAGCAAGCTTCATGCCCTTCCAATGATCCGCCTCCGCCAGACGCTTAGTGAAAATATCTGCTGCCTGCTGATGGGTCTTCACTATCTCCACCCGCACCTCCTTATCAAGGAGTCTCCTCACCCAATGCCACTTAGGCCTTATGTGTTTTGTCAGCCCATGCAGACAAGCATTCTTGGCGAGCTTCACAGCGGACTCATTGTCACAAAACACAACTGTCGGCTCCTCCTGACCAACTCCCAACTCCTCCAACAAACGCCTTAGCCACACTACTTCCTTGGCCCCATGGTGTAAGGCCATGTACTCAGTCTCACATGAGGACAATCCCACCTCATTCTGCTTCTTGCTGCGCCAGCTCACAGCACCACCTCCTAGCAAGCACACATAACCCCCAATGCTGGTGCCATCCGCTTTCACTGAGTTGAAGCTAGCGTCAGTATAGCAACTCAAGAGCATCTCTCCACTCTTCACATCTGCAGCACCTCTCTGCAACCGCTGCCTCACTCCACTGTACTCCAATCCCACTGATGCCGTAGCGCTCACATAGCGGACCAACCTCTTGGCCGCTTCCAGCTGCTCATGACTAGGGCGTGAGACCACACTAGCCAACCGTGATGTAGCAAATGCAATGTCAGGCCGTGTATGATTTGCAGCATAATTCAGCGACCCAACCATCGAATGAAACAGCTTCCTGTCACTCTCACCCACTACCTCCTCATCAGCACATGGCTCCACAGTGAACCCCGAAGGTAGTGGTGTTGCTGGCTTTCCCCCATCTTGCAGCCCATACTTCTCAGCCAGCCCCTCACAGTACTTCCTCTGGTGCAACCTCAGCACACCCTTCTCCACATCTCTCTCCACATGCATCCCCAGGTAGTACTTCACCTCACCCATCTTGGAGCACTTGAACTGCATCTCCAGCATCTGCTCTGCGCTGTCCAGCAAAGCAGTGGATGCAGAAAAGAGAAGGATATCATCCACATACACCAAGAGCATGAGGATTTCATCCTTCTCCTGCAGCAGGAACAGGCTGGGGTCATACTCACTCTTCTTGAAACCCCCAGCCAACAGCGCCTCCTCCAACTTGTGATACCATGCACGAGGCGCCTGCTTAAGGCCATAGATGGCCTTCTTCAGCCTGCAGACCCTGCCGCTCCCATCATCCAGCCCCTCTGGCTGCTTCATGTACACCTCCTCAAGAATGATCCCATTCAGAAAGGCAGTCACAATGTCCATCTGCCGTATCTTCCATCCCAGGAGTGCAGCTATCGCCAACAGCACCCTAAGTGTTGTTCCTTTCCCCACAGGAGCAAACACCTCATCATAGTCCTTCCCCTTTGTCTGCTGAAACCCCCGTGCCACAAGCCTAGACTTGTAGCGGGTCAGCTCCCCTTCAGGTCCATACTTGTGCCTGTAGATCATCTTGGAAGTGATTGCCTTCTTCCCAGGAGGCAAGTCACACACGTCCCATGTCTCGTTCTCAATCAGGGACCCGAACTCCTCATCCTCACTCGCCTTCCACTTCTCCCCATTTGGTCCATTCAAGGCCTCCTCTCGAGTCTTGGGCTCAGGGATTGGTGCCCAGTAGCAGTGAGCGATCTCATCTTCCTCAATCTGCTCAACCACACTCCCAGCCTGCACCACATTCGGCTTGCCTCTTCCCCCATAGGTCAGCCTCACTGGAGGGCGCACATCCCTCCTAGGTCGCTCAGGCGGGTGTGGAACTCGAGGTGGAGACTCATGTTGCTGCTGCTGCTCCACTTCAGTTGCTCCCCCTTCTTCAGTCACCCCAGATATCTCCTCCTCAGACACTGCAACCTCCACCTGCCTTGAAGGCTGCTGCAACTCATCTGCCTCCACAATGAGTGGTGTAGATGGAAGCTTCTGTTGCTGCTGCTTCCATTCCTTATAGTATAGGGACTCAAGAAACTTCACATCCCTTGACACTGTCAGCTTCTGGGTGGTCAAGTCCCATAGCAGCCATCCCTTGTGATCCTTTGCAATCCCCAAGTGCACACCCCATCTTCCAGAAGCCTCCAACTTCCCTCTTTTCTCCTTAGGCACATGAAACACTACCATGCACCCAAATGCCCTCAGCATATTCACAGCTGGAGCACTCCCATACCACTTGGTATATGGGATCCACTCCTTATCCCCAACTGTAGCTAGCACCCTATTCTTCACAAGGGCGACCTGCCTCAGTGCAGACACCCAAAACGGATCAGGCAGCCCTGCACGCCCAAGGAGAGTGCGTGCCCCCTCCTGCAGGGTCCTGTTGAACCTCTCAGCCACGCCATTCTGCTGCGGATTGTAGGGCACTGTCAGTTGATGCTGGATCCCCTTCCTCTTCAACTCCCCCTCAAAATCAGCTCCAATGAACTCCCCACCATTGTCACTGCGGATCACCTTCACCTTGTGTCCGCATTCCCTCTGAGCTCTAGGCATCCACTCCTTAAGGACAGCCGCTGCCACCTCCCCCTTGCTCTTCAAAGGGTAAACCCACACTGCCCGAGTGTGGTCATCTACAATTGTCAAGAAATAGCGGCTGCCTGAGAGGGAAGGGGCTCTTGTGGGCCCCACCACATCCATGTGCACAAGTGCAAGTGGGGTCTTGGCTGGTCCTGTAGTGCTGTTGAAGGGGAACTTGGAGAACTTGGTCTCCAAGCATGTAGGGCAGCTCCCAATCTCCTTCACTTCCCCTTTCACCTCCAAGCCCTTGAGGCTCCCATTCTTCACCAACTTCTGCAGCATAGGGAAGTTCACATGACACAACCTCTCATGCCATGTCTCCCAATCGGCCTCTCCACTCCTTGATGAAGCCTTAGCCCATGCCGCACTCGCATCCACACCAGCAAGCACCTCACCATGTGTCTGCTGCTCTTTCTTGAATGCTTCCAGGACCCCATCAGTTGGTGCAGTTGCATCTCCTCCTGCTGTTGCCTTTGCCGCTGCTGCCGTTGCTGCTGTTGGAGTCTTCCCATTCCAAGGGATGATGGGCAGCTGCCACAGGTCCTTGATGCAGCTGGTCTCCTCTTCCAGACTCCACAGCACCTTCTTCCCAAGCTTAGCACGGCAGCTGGTTGGTCCAAAGGTCACTTCGGCCTTACTCTTCTGCAGTCGCCGCACAGAGAGAAGGTTAGCAGACAAGCCTTTAACCAGCAGAACATTCCCAAGCCCCACAAGCTCCCCATTAGCTCCCTTAACCTTGGCATTCCCAACACCAATCACGGGGAGCAAAGCACCTGACGCTGCTGCCACATACTTAATCTTCCCAGGGGGTTTTACCTCATCAAGCAAATCTGCCCGTGGAGTCATGTGACTGGTGCAACCTGAATCAATCACCCAGTGCGTGAGAGGGTGCATCACAACCTTTCCCACAGATCCCACATCACCCTCATGCCCATGCACATCCTCAACCATGAGATACATCCCAGGATAGGCGTTACCTTGTGCACCTTCACCTTGTGCACCTGAGCCTTGCACAGCGCCACCTTGTGCGCGTTCACCACTTGGCGGCTTCATGCCTGGAGGTGACCATCCCTCCGGCCTGCTGAAGCACTTGAACCAAGGATGCCCGACCTTCTTGCAGTACCAGCAGGTGCCCTCCATTCTGGTACTCCCCCTGCCACTGGAGCTCCCATGCCCCTCATTATAGTCACCTCGGCCTCCACCTCTGCCAAAGCTTCTCCCACGGCCTCGGCCTCTCCAACCCCCTCTTCCTCTGCCGCGCCCTGCAGCTCCATACCCCTCAGCAGTCTTAGTGGCAGCACCGCCTCCCACATGGCGTCTGCGGAAGTCCTCCTGCAGAATCTGCTGCCTTAGCCACTCAGGTGTCCATTGATCTTGCTGAGAGTTGAGGGTGGGGATGAGGTTGTCCCAAGAGTTGTCCAACACCGAGATGATCTTGGTGCACTGCTGCAGCTGAGATACACTGCTGCCCGCTGTTGCCATCCTTGCATAGGTGTCCTTGATCTTGTCAAGGACCGGCTTCACATCGTCCCCTGGTCGCATGGAGATGGCAGCAAGTTCCTTCTCGAGCACGATCACCATCGGGAGAGTGTTGGGCTGAATCACATCGCGTAGTAGTTTCCACGCCCTTGGACCCGAATCATCCGCTTCCACAAGATCCTTGATGTGCTCGAACATCTCCTTGTTGACCGATTGAAGGATGAGGTCGAAAAGCACCGCGCTTTTCTCAATCCACCGTTCACGTGCTTCGCCTTCTTCCAGCATCTTCTCTTCCCCAACAGCAATCTTCAGTAGCTTGTAGCGTTTGAAGGCACTCCTCATCCGTCCGCTCCATTCCTCATAGTTGGAGCCATCCAAAGCTTCAACTTTTGATGGCGGCGGCTCACTTGCCTTCTCAGCTACAGCTCCTCTTCCATTAGCATCTCCTCCTCTCTCATTCATCTTCTCCTTGAGAAATGACGAATTTCAGCCCCCCTTTGCTGTCCACACTCAGCTCCCTCGATATTTTCACAAGTGTCGGCGTCCACGAAATTTCGGCAGAGTTTCCCTTAGCGGAAGACACATCCAACCTTTAGAACACCACTTAGGCACACCCACAGGCCATGGTGGGTCTAGAAGGGTCTTCACACTTCTGTAGACTCCTCTTAATGTCCTTAATATTGCTCTGATACCACTTGTTAGGATTAAGGACGGAGTCTAGGTGAACTTAGGAGCTAGAATTACTCAAAATATAAATCCGAAATTCTGGACAGAAAAGTCGTCTTCACAAGAAACAACGTCGACAAAAAACTAGCCGTTGGAATGTCGCGAAACTTGGATATGTTGTAGCTCTTAATTTCAGCTACCGTTCCCAATTTGAATCATGTTGATTGATGAAGTATTCGCGACGCTATGGCTTTCGACGCACTAGGGGGTAAGCTGTAGGAGGAGAACTTAACTCAATCTCAAGAGTTCAATCAAAGTTCAAGAATCTCACAAGGAATTAGAGGAGCAAGAGAAAGGTTGGGATAGAAGAGAGGGATGAGAGGGAAGGTCCCAAGAGAGTCCCCAACCAAGGAAACCCCATAAGCACAAAGATTCCCTCCCTATAGGAACCTCAACTTTGACCTTTGTCCCTTCCCAACCAATCCATCCAAGTTGGCCACCCTTGCCAACCTAGCTTGGTTGTTCCCAACCTATTTGCAGCTGTTACAGTAGAGTGACAAGTTTACCCAACCCCAAAGGTCCCAACTCCATATAAAGTCACCCCACAACTTCACTTTGTAACCGCCGCAATTGTAACGCAAGCTCATGAACTTTGAATCTTCATAGCTTTCGCGTTCTTGCTCCGATTGAAGGGATTCTCGTTGCGTCGGAAAGATCTTCTCAAGATCTATCATCACAAAAAACCTGCTCAAACAAAATAACACAAAACACATTCCCAAACTCCAGAACACACCACACACAAATTCTTTCACACAGAGTCAAACCATACATACGAATTGAAACAAGAGATAGGAGGCAGACAGAATGTGATAGCATATGATGACATCACACAACAGCCGCCACCGTCTGGCGCATCATCCGCGCCATCTGCGGAGCCCCAAGGTTGCACTGCAGGCATGTCATTGCCTTTTCCTGCTTCCGTGGTCCGAGGGGGGGACACGCCACCAGCCATAGGTACCGAAGTATCCACATGCATCTCCACTGTGCCTCCGTCCACTCCCTTTCTGGCGGGAACCATTGCCCACGGGCCGTCCGCCCCTTCAGCAGGCGTGTCACGCCCGTCATATGCCACCTCACACCCGCCCGACTCCTTATTGTTTTCCACCTCTGTAGCCGTCTTCATCTCGCCCGCCTCATCCTTCCCGCAAGCACTCTTCTCTGGAGGTGACCCACACCCATCTTTCTGCCCCGCCATCTCCATCTTCCCTTCCGCGGTGCCGAGCTTCCCGCGCAAACTCGTGTCCTTCGCCGCCTCCTTCCGATCTACCTCTCCCTCTGCCACAGATTGCTTCGGTCCCTTTTTCTTCTCCTTGCCGTTAGCCTTCTTGTTCGTCGAGACCGCGCGCCGCTTCGCACCTGCCAACAAATGGAACGCTCGACATGGCGGTTAGGCCATGAGTAAGTACTCCCCATGTGCAACCACATACAACCAAGCGTGATCAGGGGTGAAGAAAGCTCACCCCTCTCAACAGCCTCGGTGTCGAGCTCATGAATGCTCTTCTTCTTGGGTGGCTTTCGTTTTTTTGGCAACCGCAATTTCTCTGGAACGTCATCGTATGGTTCGCCATCCTCCCCATCGTCGCTCTCGTCGTCACTACTATAATCGCTACCATCTCCCTTCTTGCAGCCCCTGACAGAACATGGATGCCATTTCCGGTACTCAAGGAGGGCCTCCTTCGTCTCGCTAGGCGTCACCTTGCGACCCTGGTGCTCCGCAGGACCATCCTCATCTCCCTCAATAACATAGGGGCCGTTCAGCTTGACGCTATTCCTGCGCTCTCTTTCTCCGCGCCTGAGGGTTTCGTTGGCCATTTTGGAGCATGTTACTCTATGGTAGTTGGACGAGACATTGGGGTATGCAATGCCTCGTACGGACTGTCACGTGGTAACCAGTCGACTCGGGGCTAGGAAAGCACGAGTTGAATTGAAACGAAACGGCACGATTGATGCACCATTGCACGAGGTTGCACGGCCGCACGTGTGAGGCGGAATGCCGCAGAGAATCGCAGCCGCGCGGCCGGCTCACCTCGGAGAACGCCACCGCCAGCGGGATGGCGATCGAGTGGCTCTGCCACGCGCGGTGCGATGCGAGCGCCACCGCTAGCGTCCGGCGCTTGAGGTGCTGGTGGACCGCTCGGGCAGCGCCTGGGATGACGCGGGCGGAGGGGGGGATTTGCAGACGCGGAGACGAAACGAACGAATTCAGGAGAGCGTAACCGAAGCGCGCTATCAAGTGATGATCATGTAGGGAGAAACTAGGACGCTAGCCCTAGTGCTAGTCGTAGTAGGCCAAAAAGGGTTATTATGCAGGACGACATACAGCCTGTTTATGTTTTCCGTACCTCCTGTCGAGCCCGTTTCTCTCCGCCGAAGCAGCGAGTGAACGTCGGAAAAACTCATTGGCGCTGAGCCTGTTCGTGCAGGCAGCTAGTACTAGAGCAGACTCGGATGAGTGCTCAAGCTGCCGCGGACTGGGTGACGGAAAGTGCGAGCACAATGCGAGGGCATAAATGCAGAGTGACAACGCACGGGGGGCCTTGTGAAGTGAATGATCGCGAAATAAGACCGCTAATGGGCACCTGATAACAGAACGAGAACTGGAGGTGGCGAGGAATGGCGGGAGAGCTTCGACGAGGCATGTAAAGAAGCAGCGGCAGATGAAGCAGCAGCGGTACCACCAAGGTTTCGTGAGGCGGACTCAAAATTTCAAATTCTGAGTGGCGGATCGCTGAACCATTCGCGAGCTCGTGCGAAATCGCGCAAGGTTACGATGATTGCAAAAACAAAGTGAATGTAACTCTTCTTTTGGCCTACACAGGCAAGGTGGGACGAGGCAAATAATCCCACCTACTCATTTGAGGGCTTGGTTACACCGCATATCAGACAGTTGGTACAGGTTTGTCGAGCTGACCCGTGGGACAGGTCGACTTAACGGCCACTGCGCGACCATTGACGCCAGGACCTCTGAAAGTGTCGCCAGGTGGCAGTAGCAAGGTCGTGCGCAAAACATGCGACTGCCACTCTGCACGACCACAATTCGCTTGTCGAAAACAAACGTCGTGGGGCATGCTAATTGGTTTGCTTTGTTTCGTGGCTTTTGGACTGTCAATTTATGCGACGTTGAAGTTGACGAAGTTGACTGCTAGACGCGAGTTTGACCGGTTTTAGAAAGCGGGAAATGTTCGCGCCAGCTACGAACTCAACTAACACCCGGGCAGTATCTGCTTCCACGGTACAGGTGGGCTGTACCTCCTGCTTGACACGCAGTATAGCTTTGCCCTGAAAAAGCGCGAGTTTCCTCCCTCGTCCCATGTTTCGGTCTGATCAAGAGAACTATGGGATCGCATTTGTAAGGAATTTCCATTCCGTACTGAGTCGTACGCTAGCGCGTACACCCGAACTCCTCGACTCTTCACGTTCTGCCTCAATTATCGGCCCAACCTCTTCCCGAGTCATGTCCGGCACTGTCGCCACATTGCCGAACCTACCCACGTTCCGAGGTTATCGCCCTAGCACGCCAACCCCTATATAACCTCTTGCCTTCATTGCAATAGCGATCTTGAATTCTCACGTTATATTTCATTAGCACGGCTGCACAAAAGGTTTTCTTGGATCGTAAATATTTTTACATCAACAACTACGGCGTGTGCGCTAGCTTCTGCCCCGTCCTGAACGCCATGGCCCCGGTAGACTCGACGGTTGAGGGGCAGTCCACCTCGACTGCTGCGAACCCTTCCCGGGAAACTGTGGACCTGCAAACATTAATGGAGCAGTTGAAGAATTTGACAAGCGTCGTTAACGACCTCCGCGACGAGAACCAACGACTTCGCCATGCGCAGGAGAGGCGTCCAGAGGAGCTGGACGACGATGCACGAAGCGAGGCGGGTGAGCAGCAACCGTCGCGAGTGGAGCTGGCACGACTAGCGGCAGCAGCCCCACGCTCGACAAGTGGCGGCGTAAGATATCAGCAACCCGCTCCTTACGACCCAGCTAATAAAGGCGTGACAGTGCAGCAGTGGATATTCGCCATGAATATCTATTTCAACGCGGCGGGCATCTGAGACGATCAGAAGTGGATCAGCCACGCGTTAACACTATTGCAAGGGGCCGCCCTATAGTGGTGGAAGGTCATCGTCGACTCAGCGGCAAATCGCACAGAAGGACAACACGAGTGGTCCGAAGAATTCGGCGACGAAGACGAGGCAGATTTGTTGTTCGGAACGACCCACATTCGCACGTGGACAACGTGGTGCGCAGAGCTTCGCAAGCGGTTTGAGCATGCTTCTGACTCAGACAAGGCACGCGAAACTCTACGCATGTGGAAGCAGCTGGGATCTGTGTCCGAGTACACCGCGTCATTCTTGACGTTGGTGGACAGATGTGGCTACATGCACGAGTTGGAGAAAGTCGACAGGTACATGGGCGGTTTGAAGCCCGAAATACAGTACCAGATAAAACTGCAACGCTCTTCGAAGCGGTTACAATACAACATCCAGCTCGCCGAAGCCGCTGATTCGATCACGAAGCCGAGGACGAACTTATACGACGGAGGTCGCCCTCGAGAACAGTACCAGCGCGTTACGATAAAAGGGGTGGACGAAGTGGATATTTACGCAGTTGCTTCGCGAAATACGGGGCTATGCTACCACTGTGGCCGGCCAGGTCACATCCGACGCAACTACCAAGAATTCATAGCCCTCCAGAATTCTATGGGGAAGAAGCTGGAGGAGCGACCGGGAAATGGGTCGCGTCAGTAAGTACTGGGCCCCTTACTGACGGGCTGGCTTCTTCGCCCGAACCACACAGTCCCCACCGGGTCGTGATCCCGATTGCTGCAATTGACCGGACCCGGACGAATGACGGGGACAAAATTGCTGATCACCATGTGTTGGTGGAGGGTAAAGTTAACGGAGTGTTATTGAAGATATTCGTTGATGGAGATGCGAGTCTTAGTCTCATACAACTGGACAGGGCTAAAAAATTGGGTATATCCTTACTCAAGTGTCTACCTGAAATCGACACCCAACTGGTGGACGGAACACCGCTCGCAATACGGGAACAAGTGGAGAACGTTAGTTTTACCTGTGGGGAGCATGTAAAATTTCGGATGGGACTACTGGCGACTACTCTCGATGGGTGCGACGTGCTGCTGGGACGTGATTGGTTGCAA